TTTTGAAATTGCTGAAATTACTTTTGGTAGGGATCATGGCAGCCACAAAACTCTAATCTCATCACCCATTCCAAGAACCATGTGCATACCTTCTGGCATGAGGTTTTAGCATGCTGCTAAATTCTTAATGAGAAAGCAAAAATAAGCAAATAACAGCACATTTCTTAACTTGCAGAATTAACTGTAGTTAAAGGATGACCAGCAGATTCGGGTACAGCAGAGATTACTGAATTGTTGGAGGACCTGAAGGACCAGTATGAGGACAGATCATCTTGGATAAAATCTTTTTGTGTGGTCACTCAGAGTCAAAACTGATTGATGGCATATGGTCAATAATTTGATTATGTTACACTTGCCATGTCCCCTTAGTTGTGTCTGACTTGCAATCATATTCAGATTTTTGGCTGAATTGTATGCACTTTCTGACAGTCATATGCTATTAATAGGAAGCATACAATTATGGAAATTACAAGCTTGTCTTTTTGCCCCATCTCCCCAGTTACCTATAGATGAAATAAAGTACAATGTAATATTAGCCAATTTGCATTGTTGCTTGAGCAGGGGAAAGCAAATAAAATGATGTCACCTGATTGCCCTAAAAATACTTTTTCAAAAGTCAATTGGATTTTGCTTTTTCCTTGAAGACGTTTTGCTTCTCATCCAAGAAACTTCTTCAGCTCTGAGCTGAATAAGCTTCTTGGGTGAGAAGCAAAATGTCTTCAGGGAGAAAACAAAGTCCAGTTACCTTTTTGAAAAACCACTTTTGGGACAGCCATGAATTGGATGACTGAGAATCTCCATAGTCATGTCATCTGATTCTTTATCCCAGTATCCCAATAAAGACAATTGGAATATGGTATTTAATGTCCCATTAGTATTCCTACCATGTACTATTTGGATCAGGGACAAAAAGATGCTTTATATCTTCAGCCCTGCCTGTAATACTCACAGAAAACAACATGTTCTTCTTGTCCTGATTTACAGCCCGTGGATCTGGGACAGGGTCAGTATGTTTTATCACAGAGACAGATTCACCTGGGTGGAGATATAAAGGGTCAGACCACTTGCTTCATACAAAACAGGATTGGTATGGCCTGACTGAATGCAAGCATTATATATTGCATAGATCAGTACTCATTGCTGATTTAAGTGATGTAGACTTCAGTTCCAGGATTCCTTAGCCAGCAAGCTCGCTAGTGAATTCTGGGAGTTGAAGTCAATATATCTTTAATTAGCCAAGGTTGAATAACACTGGCATAGATCATACCCAAATCTACCTATACTAATGATTTTCCAAGACATGTTTTCCCAACCACAGATTTATCCATAGAGTTTAGGAACTCTATATAGTCCCATACTTTCATTTTACAAAGTAGTTTAAAATATAGGTTCTTCTCAGGTCTTTGCTGATTGGCTGAGATTTAAAAACACAACTTCTGTTGTTATTCCCTCCTTCTCCCTTTCATTTTACATTTTTCCCCATTATTTTATGGGCAGAATTTATTTATTGCTAATATTGTGTATGAGTTCCTTACCTGTCAGAATAGACTGGTCCACACGCAGAGTGGTAGATTTGATGGAAATGATACGGATATCAGCTGGGACTTTGTCACCAACTGGGGAACAAAAAAAGAATAACCTCGAGTTTTAGCCATAGAACAGTCACTGTTTGATATAAAACAAAACAAAACACCTGCTACTGACTATATGCTAAAAGCCATGGCTAAGTAAACCACAGTTTTCTGAATTAATCCAATTTTCTGGGCTAGCATAACTTAACCAGGTCAAATAAAAATCTAATGGCAACATAGACACAATATACTAAGCTTGGGTGATTTTTAACCTTAGGTTGTTTCTTCAGATTTAGCATTTTGTGAAAAACCCAATCCATTCATTAATGTATAGAGTAAATATGCAGTATACTATGCAAACTCAAAAAATAGGTTAATTCTCTAATCAGATTTTGTACATAGTATATGTCCAATCACTGGGTCACAAAGTAACCCTACAGAGTTTGCACAACGAATTGATTTGTCTGTTTATGTGTTTTGTGAACCCAGCCACAACCAACACCATCACCTGGACTCATATGTGTCCAATAGATGTTGCAATAATATCACTCACTTCATGATGTGATTGCACAAATGCCATATTTTGTGTCAGTCATATTATTGTGCAAATGGCCTATAGTTTCTAAAGCTTGACAATTGTATGGTAATATCATGAAGTATGTGGTGTCAATTGCTCAACCTACAAGTGATTGCACTAGGAACTAAGATAAGGAGGTTGTACAAGTTTACTCTCCATTGTGAACCAAGGCATGGGCAGCCCTTCCTGTAGGCAAAACAAAATTTCAGGCCATGATGGATTCAGTTCCTTTCTGTCAAAGAAGAAGGTTTATTCCTTCCTACGTGTCTGCCTTAGTAGACAACTGTCCTCAGATGAAATTCAGTTTCCAATCCAGATGGTCTCTAAGGCATGCAAGCTACCTTATCTTTTGCTTCAGGCAGCAGAATGTCTTGGGTCAGAGAGGCTAGAGGTCCATTGACCTAAGTTCTATATTAAGGAAAGAAAAGTGACGGCATCCACTGGAGGGCAATAGAAGACAATGTCAAATCTGAACACCTTTATGGACAGGAGATCATTAAACTACACAGTCAACCAGGATCATCAGAATGGGGTTTTTGCAGTATAGATCGGGGTCGCCAACCTTTTGGACCTCAGGAACCACCAAACTCATAATTTTAAATCCTGCGGGCCACTAATATGAATTTTGACTGACGTTGGGGGGAGGGGGGAGAGAGAGAGAGAGATCCAGTCTAACCTCGGAGGTCTGGCAGTGATGTTCTCTCTCTCTCTCTCTCTCTCTCTTTCTCTCTCTCTCTCTCTCTCTCTCTCTCACACACACACACACACACAGGTCCCTCACACACACACACACACACCCTCTCCAAGGCAGCCACATTCCTTTACTAACTTGCTTTTCAGCTCCGTTCTCAGGGGGAAAGAGAGAGAGAGAGAGAGTATCCTGCAATCCCAAATAAAGAATGATCAATCAGTAGGAAAACAGGAGGGGGGATTTTCCTGCAGACTTTTTTGGGGATTTTCTCAGGACCCTGGGAAAATCCCCAAAAACGTTTGCAGGAAAATTCCCCACCCCATTTTCCTACTGATCGATCATTCTTTATTTGGGGTCTCAGGATACTGTCTCCAGCTCCGTTCTCAGGGGGAGAGAGAAAGAGAGAGACTTTCGGCTTCATGCAAGGAAAGCAGCAGAAGTCTTTCTTTCTCTCCCCCAAACTCTGCCAGAAATGAGTCTTTGCCAGTGCATCCTCTTGAAGCAGGATGCCTTGCAGGGTCCCAAAGACTCATTTCTGGTGGAGTTCGGGAGAGAGAAAGAAAGACTTTTGCTGCTTTCCTTGCATGCAGCCAAAAGCAGAAGAAGAAAGAAGCGGAAAGAAGCAGCCAGGTGGCCAGGCAAGGCATGTGGGGCAAGTGGGACAAGTCCCCCCCCCCGCTTTCCTCCCTCCCCTCACTACCTTGTGTTGTTTGCAATGCAAGCGACGCGGGCCATGTGGGTGACGCAGCCTTGTGTTCTCGCGCAGCCTGGATTAATTGCTTTGGGGGGTGCTTTGTGGGTGACATTTCTCTGCAGACCACCAAAATTTTCTGTGGCCCGCCAGTTGGCAACCACTGCTCTAGATCAATGCTTCTCAACCTTTGTAGCTTTAAGATATGTGGACTCAACTCCCAGAATTTCCCAACCAGGAATTCTAGGAGTTAAAGTCCACATGTCTTAAAATTGTTAAGGTTGAGAAACATTAGTTTAAAGAGAAAGAACATTATTTGTACAGAACTGAAGGTAGCTTGAATGAGAAAATTTTCTTACTGGGGTCAAATTCTGAAGCAGGAATTTCAGTGGATGAATATATAGATTAAATATCTCATTTTTTTCTGCACCACTACAATTCAGAAATAAATATACTACTATTTATCTCCTAGGAATTTTTTTCAACCAGGTTGTCCAAGGCAACAATGATAAAACAAACATCGGAATCATCCCAAGAAGGAAAGTCTTTTTTTAGCATTTTAAAAAGATTTTCTGCTCAGCCAATGGTAGGCTTTACTTTATGCTGTAATGAAGATTTCATTTCATTTGATTAAGCTTTGTTCACAGAAACGATAAATTAAGGTGCCAAAACATTTCATTCTTGCCTTTTGTAAAAATGGAGCTTAAGAATTCTGGAGTCCTCCACTTTTTAAAAGCATATTGACCATGAATAACCCGGCAGCATGAAGAAGGATTTTAGTAGCACAATTCTATATATGTCTGTTTGTAAATAAATGCCATAGAGTACTTTGAGATTACCCCCAAGTAAATGGCTTACGGTTAAGTAATTTAAATCTCTCATAATATGGTAGCTTTGCATTATGCATATAATATTATATTATACAGTTTTAAGAACATATTCTTCCTTGCAGTTTGGACCTATTCTGCCGGACCTGCTTTTCCTGAGAAATATTTTTATTAATTCAGCAAGCAAATTCATCAGTTAAATTTCAAAATTATATTGCTAGAGGTAGCTGTAATTACATTCAAATCATTGATCAGTTTTTATTGGTATTTTTAATATCAGTTTTGGCTTATCTTCATTAATTGAGTAGAGATAGATGAATTTGTTAAAATCACACTGGTTTATTTATTGTGATATGGTTATCTTGCAGAAAATCTTTTTTCTTCAGGAAACATGCTTGAGGTACAATATAAGTGGCAGAAACAACATGCAATCAATTGAAGCAACTGAAATCAGAAGAGTGAACATTTTCATCTGCATTTGTGTAAATCTGTCCCCTTTAGCACTTAAATATGATTTTTGAGGTTTAATTCCAGTGGTGATAAAATTGCTCCACTGAGAAAAATCAAATTTCTCCCTGCTCAATCAGAAATAATTTTGGGATTCTCCAGTTCCCTTGACCCAATATGTTCCCTAGTTTGTTTGTTTTTTTAATTAAATCATTTGCCCACAGTTAGTTCAGGCAGGCTTCCTCAGTCTCTCACCTTACTATTCTCAGACAATCCCTCTCAGCAAAGCTATTTAACAAACATAAACTTATGCTATACTAAAGCCATTTATGAGACTCAGTTACCATTTACCAGATGTTCATACCCACTACATATGGACCTTAAACTGATAATATGTACATATGGACCTTAAACTGATAATATGTACATATGGACCTTAAACTGATAATATTGCTCAAAAGCGCAGGGGAAAACCTTCAAAAATCGTTGCTTTCCTCAGAAGTGGGCGATCACCAAGGATATGCTTTGGGTATGTCAGGATTGAAAAATGTAGGATGCAGATGGGATGGAAGTGGGGTTTTTTGTTGTTGTTTTTTTGGCCTGCTTCTAAGGTAGTCAGAGGCAGCATCCCAGTGTGGGTTTCTCCTTTGCCTGTCCCCCTTTCATCCGACAAGGCATGGTAACCCTAGATGTCCCCATGCACCCCAGCTCGCTTTTCCACCAGCGCATTAAGTGTCTCTCTCTCTTTCCCTCCTTGCCTGCCTCATCACATTCCCGAGACATCACCAAGCTGCCTGCCAGTGTCCATACAAGGCGAAGCTAGTTGCTGGGCACTATCCATTGCTCCATTGCCTTCTCTTCTTCAAGGAGATGGAGAGGTCACGGCTTCCCTAGGCAGGGAGGGGAACTCAAGGCCAGGCCAGACTAGGAGAAAGGTGGCAAAAATTATGTTCCTACATCCCAGAAGTGATGCTAAAGTTGCTTGGCCAGTAACATTTAAAAGGAAAAAAGAACATAAGCTAATCAGAGTTATTAATGAGCTGCAGAGGCTTCTTGGAATTATCTTTTTGTTAAATTCTTTCCTGCAGACATTCAAGGATTTTGACTTAACACACTTTCTCTGTCTCTTTTTAATACATAATATATATTACCAACTATTGAATCCCCCCCCCCCAGCATATATATTGTAATGCCAATTAGCAGAGGTCAAATGCACGCAGAATTGACTACAAGTCTGGTATATTTAAGAAGAAATTTGGGGAAATGAATCCCCTCCTTATACAATTCTTGAAGATACAAGAACATTATGTCCTTCCTTGGCATTTGGTCACAAAGGCACATGAAAGGAGGTGATAAAATTATGAATGAGAGTTGGGCCAGACAAGAGCTATTCAGTGTCCTAATTAAGAATGGGGCATCTATGTATAGAAAGTATCTCCTTTTGAATAATTAGCATGAGAAATCAAAACAGGGAAATTTCGTCACCTTCAAACCCTGCTTGTGAGATTCCCTGGGACCGCTGAGTGGTAGCTGCTACAGCTAGAGTGCTAGGCAAAGTGAATCTTTGTGTTCTTGACAATGCCACCAAATCTGATGAGGAGATTTATTGATCAAAATATGTATTAGGAAATTGTTTTTAATAAGCACACTTTTAAGGATGTGAGGATCAACACAAAAAAAAGCATGGCCAAGGAATTGGGATTTCAGTGTTAAAAAGAATGAGACATGGAGAGATTGAGAGTTTCTAGTCCTGCACTCTCTAGTAGAGGGAATCATTAACTAAGTTTTTGGAAGCTGACTTTGATGACAAAATATTTTGTGCATCCACATGCACACATGCATTATTTTATTGATATTTGAGCTGGAGTTTTAATTTCCCGTTGGATTTTTAAACTCTCCAGGACAAATTGGGGTGGGAGTGGTAACCAGGTGGGGCGGGGGGAGGTCCTATATTAAAGGGAATGGTCCAAATAGAAGGGCTTTATTTTCTAAAACGAGAGGGGAGAGGCTTGTAGAGAACTACCATCTGCTAGCAGCCAGCATATTGCCTGTTCAGTTGCAATGATAAGATGTCTTGCATTCTACTTAAATTAACAAATCCTTTCAAAATTTACACTTCAGTGCATAGACTCAAAAGAGCAAAAACATTTTTCCTTCACACTTTGTCCTGTTAGCTGCACATAAGTGGGAGAATATGAATTTTATGTAAAGTCTGCCCTTTTGGGGGCAATGCCATGTTTCTCTTTTCTAGGCACACAGAAGAAACCACTCTGATCTCCTTAGTGTGAATGTGTGACAAAAAGGAAAGCAAGAAAGAGGCTACAAGACTTCATGAGGGAGACTGCTCCATCACATGGATGGATGGATGAGTGTCTGCCCTTGATATTTTGGAAACACTTGTGCAACTGGCCCCAGGAGTAAATGATCTCTGAATTAAATTAATTTAGAAAGGAGGAGGGAATGATCTGGCTGCTGGCCCAGCTCTGAGGGCAGCTGTTATCTAGTAAGTGCAGCTGAAGGGGATTCCTCAGGGCTCTGCTTTCACTGCTCCACCTCCAGCCCTCACTCTCCATGGGGACTGTCTGTTCCCAAAACATCCCTCTCGCCTCTATTCCAGGGTCAAGACAGGGCAAGCCCAAGGAGTAAACAAGCTCCATGATGGAGGGGTCTTGTTCAGATTTTACTGAAGCAGCATCCCAGAACTTCCTGTGGATTTGAGGCTGAAGGAAAACAGTATCTAACCCCAAAATAGTCACTCCTCTCCTGACTTGTGGGAAATGGCTTCTCCATTATGACCCAATAGGGTACCTCCTGGAGTGGCAGGGAAAATGGGGAGAAATAGATTCTAGATTGGGATTCTCTGCCTTGCACAAAATGTCACCAGAAGGAGAGGCCTGCAAAAGCAGACCTCTAAGTGTATAGATAGACAGGAGGAGAAAACACTGGCTTTAAATAGGTTTGCAGCAATATATTGTCACAAAAAACAATACCTTCACTCAATTAATTTGATAAATTCTGAATTTTTCCCCCTGAGAGAATTAGATTTCAATTTAATTTTTTCTCCTGTAATAAAGCATTTTTGCCTTCACTGAGGGCATTCTCCTGGGGCTGTTAAACTGGTCTCTACCATCCTTTAACTGCAGAAATAAACCACCATAAAATTGCTGCTCAATCCTGCCAAGCCTCAATCTGCCTACATTGCCTCTGTTTCAAGTCACTGTGGTTACTTTATTTCCTTCCAAAACAAGACAGATTTGACCTACCTAGAAGCTAACTTTAGACAGCATTAGAATAAGAGTTAAATTCTACTTCAATGCCAGTATAACTCAGGATTACTTAAGCCTGTCTTCTTTGTGCATTGGGGACAAAATGACAGCCATATCATTAGGTACTAGCAGGTAAAGATATAAGCAGGATGTTTTGTGTCCTGGTTTGGTGCAAGTGGAAATTACCTTTATTTCTTTCAACTCACAGAGAATAATGCCTTCTTTGCCATATATTCTAACTATAATTCCCCTGCTTATCTAAGAATGGGTTGATCCCTGCTTGATCTAAATATCTTTGCAACTAAATTATTTAATAAAATAACGCTTCTTTAACACTATTCATTCTTTAGTCTAACCCTGTTCAAGTTGAGGCAACCTGTGCAATCAATATAATAGAGAAATGCTATGTCAGTGTCGACAATTGCTTCATCTTAACAAACGTGGAAGCATTTTTAAATCCTCAGGTGGAGATCGGAGACAGGAACCTTGGCAACTGCTCTTTAGAGAGGAGTATAGCTGTTGATGATTGTTACTAGAGAATCATACTGTCCTTATCTGGAGTATATATGGTATATCCTCTATAAAAGAAAGCAGTAGGGAATACTGGGATATCCCTTCAACTTAATTGACCTTGATCCTACTCTATCAAGGAGTAGGTAACAGGGCAAGAGGAGAATACTGTCTTCTAGAGCAAATGCTCTAGAAATAGCTAAGCGTTTTGAATGTCACTGCTAGTGGTATCTGTCATCTTCAGTCGCCTCATTTCTAATAGCTTAAGTTGGGAGCTTGAGCTACTTAGGGATTTAAAGATTATGGAAGAACACTTATGGTATTCAAACTGACTCTGGCACTCTCTCTATGTTTAGTCTTCTTCGCCCTGGGGAATCCCTATGACCTTTAACGTTGTCCCCCCTGTCTCCCCCCCTGGCACTTACCTGCCACCTCTGTAATGTCTCCAGGGACCATGTCTTTGGCCTTTATTCTCTGTACTGCCTTCCTGTCAGATCGATAGACCTTGCCCATTTCAGGTTCATACTCCTTTAGGGCCTCAATGGCATTCTCAGCATTTCGTTCCTGCAAGGAGGAGGGACCCACTCAGAGTTAAGATGCCCTATTGTTGCTTACAATTACCTCTTGGGGCCCCCTCAGCAGAGGGAAGGGCTGTTCCTTTCCCCCAATGCAAGAAAGCAAGCTGAGCTAGGTGAGTCAGGCTCAGAGTAAGGATCCAAACTCCTAGTCCATTAGGCCTTGGTATTTTGACACCCTTCAATTTTCTGAAAGCACTTTCATGCTCTCGGAGACTGACTAGGTTAGAGTACTCTATCTCCTCATGATAGCAGTCAGATAATGTTCATAAGGTACACCTGAAGAACAAAATATATATTAAGCCACACTGTAGTATGTTTAGAGCATCATAGAGATACTTCACATACTAAAGAGGGCTTTGCACCTTATATGAAACAACAATGTGATTTGCCTGGCTCTGGTTTGGTGTGGTTTGTGAACATACGCATTATGCTTTAAAGTTTGCAACTTTAAGATGGATGGATTTCATGTCCTTGTGAGTTGAAGTCCAAACCTCTTAAAGTTGCCAAGTTTGAAAAATACTGTTTTAAACCATGCTTTGCTTGCTTATTTATTGTGCTTATCAACCACCTTTCCTTCATAAGTCCAGGGCTCCCTCCTAAATTTTCCCTAAGAACAACTTCCTGAGATAGGTTGGTTAATATAGAGAATTGGTCTAAAGTCCACAGAGAGCTTCTATAGTTGACTGGAGGACTAGATTCTCTTGATGCCTGTGCAACATCTGAACTAACTCCTAGGGATCTGGATCTGAAGAGACAAAGGCGATTTGGGGTGTAGAGGGTACTTATATTTTTCCCATTAGTAACTTGCAAGGAAGAGGTACCTTTCCCTGGGCTCATGGTTTCCTGGATTTTCCCTATGCAATTCCAGCAGAAGAGGCATTTTATTTAAAGGCAGCTGACAGATATATGTGCATTCAAACATGCTTCAAATCACCTTTTCCTTTGGAGTCTGGACTACCTCACACACCTGCATCCACCAAACCGTAATGAAACACAATATGATTTGTTTACCTGCCACACTCCAACAACGGCATTGGCAATCAGGATCAATAGGATGACAAATGGTTCCACAAATGCAGTGACAGTCTCTTCACCCTCTTCAAACCATGCCAGCACCTGTAAAAACAAACAAACAGGTAAGCGTAGTTGTAGAGGAGAGGAGAGAGAATGTGGTTAATCTTCCACTTCCCTCTCACTCAGATATGGCCATTGTTCATTTTCCAGTCAGAAATCCTAAATCCCAGCCCCACCTCTCATTTCTCCTTCTGAAATCCCATTTACTTTTTAATTCTCCTTGAACATGCCATCTGAAAACAGCTGAAGCCAGCCTGCGTTTTGCATTGGCACAAAAATGAACTGAGTCAATCAATCTCCATGAAACTTGATAGCACCAGCATAAAAAGCTCCTGTTGCTGTGTGTGTGTGTGTGTGTGTGTGCATGTGCAAACACATGGATGTTGCACAATTGTGCAGGCAGGGATAAGTGTGTAATTGCACACTTGAGGTGTGAAAGTATGTGTTGCACACAATTGCAATGAAACATCTCTACAAGGTTGCACACTTCCCCCTGCTGGTGAGAGTTGTGTCTGACAGGATTTCTGTTGGAACAGAGCATTGTGCAAATACTGTACATATCTCATGCTGTTTGATATACTGTTGGGAGCGGGCATAATTTTTAGAAGGATTATAGTCGATTAACAGTACAAATGTGATTTGTAATGCTTGATTGTTTCCCAGAGTTATCTCCAAAGACTTTATCAGAGTTTTTTCTTTGTTTGCAGATCCAAATTCAACACTTAAAATTCAAAATAAGCCTGTCTCTTACTG